CTGTTTTTCCCTCACTTCCCCTTATCGGTGACAAACGTGGTCACCAATCAGAGCGTGTATTCCAGTTGAGTCTTATTCTTGAAAGGGGATTGGCACTGAGGGTACCCGACCACTTGCCTTGATGTTTCCTGGGCTTTTCGCCTTTTTTAAGGCATTGGATTTGCTCATAATCTTTGTAATATGTTTATATTTGTTGGCAAACTTATCTTGGGAGAATGAATTCATTTTATTTTTATATTCTCCTCCCTGTCATTGCTCTTCCCTGTCAGACAGTCTTGCCCCTTTTCCTGGCACCTGAGACCTCCTCTCAGAACCAGCTCTTAGATTTAGGAGGTTGGGGGACTTTGTTTTGGGAGCGCTGTGGCTCTTTAGTATAAACATTAGCCTGCTAACCACACGGTCAGTGATTTGAACCCTCCTACTGCTCTGCAGGAGAAATATGAAGCTTTCTCTTCTCATAACGATTTACAGCTGCGGAAACTGTACACGGGGTCAGTAGAAGTCAGTGTGAACTCGACACTACTTAACAACAGCAATAACCACCCTAAGTTTTTTATCTTATGCTTCATGACATTGACTGCAACCGCCACAGTGTATCATCACCTGTCCCACTTCCTTCCTGAGTTTCCTGTTTCTGCTCCTAATTTGCTTACCCCTCTGAACTTTGTCCTTATACAGATGCTGCTCTTTGAATCACAAATGGCGATCCTTCTAAGGCGTTAGAATAGCCCTTAGTGTTAGTGTTCCCCTTCTGGAGCCATCTGTTTGCCGTAGATTTGAACCACAGGGTGGAGGTCAGTTCCAGACCTGAAGGACTGAAGTCTCAGGGGTTTCCCCAGCCTTATCTGACCAGTAAACATGATCTTTTTTCATGACTTTGATTTTTGTTCCTCATTTTTCTCCCACTCTATCCAGGACCTTCTGGAGTCCTGGTATGGTGCTGTAGGATAAGCATTGGACCACAAGGTCAATTTGAATCACAAGGTTGGCAATTCAAACTCACCAGGCCATGCAGGGCCACTATGAATTGGAGCCAACTCAACAGCACTTAACCACAATCCCGGACCGTCTAGTGTGATTCCCTTCAGAATAGTTAGTAGTGGTAGCCAGGCGCCATCTAGTTCCGGTCTCGGGGTGTGGATGCTGATGTTCCTGTGCTCCTAGAGTCTCTGGATGCAGTTTTATTGTTGTACCTTAGATGGCAGCTCACAGCTTTGAAGATCCCAGTCACTCGTCACCCAGAGGTATAAGGATATAGAACATTGTCTTTGTGGACTGTGTTATGCCAGTTCATCTTGGTGTCCCCTGGGCTATGGTCCTGAGACTCCCAGCTCAGAGACTCATTTTTTCAATGTGTTTGGTTATGTGTAAGAAGTATTAATAACTTTGCTTCCTGCATGCTCCACCACATTCATGGATATATTTGCAGCATAGGTAAATGCACATGAAGAAATATTCTCTGTCAAATACATGTATATATGTTCATGGGTATAGTCCCACCTTCCCTTCCACACCCATTCAATCTGTGTGTCTGTGCAGATTGCCACGGTAGATCACCGCTATCACAGGATTGAATTCACCCATTTTTACTTGTACGATTCTGTGGTTTTTGGTATATTTTAAAACACTTTCATCACCCGCTTTAGCTCTAGCCCTAGACAACCACTAATCTCTTTCTGTAGATTTGTCTGTTCAGCATGTTTCACATAAATGGCATCATATAAAACGTAGTCTGTTGTGCCTGGCTCCTTTTGCTTCACATGCTTTCAAGGGTCATCCATGTTGTAGCATGTATCAGTACTTTATTCTTTGTTATTGCAAAGTAAAATTCCATTGCATGGATATTTGAGTTGTTTCTAGCTATCATGAATGCTACAAGGAACATTTATGTACACAGTTTTGTACACATTGGGTGTATGTGTATTCACCTATGAGTGGAATTGCAAAATCATGAAGTAACTATGCAAACTTTTTAGGGGCTGCCAGATTATTTTCCAATGTGACTGCCCCATTTTCCATTCGAACCAGCAGTGTATGAGGGTTCCAGTGTCTCTACATCTTCATCATCACTTGATACTATTCATGGTTTTTATTTCAGCCAGCCTAGTCCTGGTGTAGCACTGTAGGCTAAGCACTGGACTGTTTACTGCACTGTTGGTGGTCCAGACCCACCAGCTGTTCCTTAGAAACCCTGTATACCGATTCACTTTGAGTTGAAACTGACTTGGTAGTACTGGAAAACCACCACAGTGGGTGTAAAGTGGTAGCTCATTGTGGTTGGGGTTTACATTTTTTGATGACTATTAGAGTCCTGGTGTGGCCCCATAGGTTAATGCACTGGACTGCAAAGCCAGTTTGACCCACAAGGTTGGCAGTTCAAGCTCACCAGCTGTTCCTCGGAAACTCTATACAGAGTCGCTTTGAGTCGGAACCAACTCAATGGCACTTGACAACAACAACCGTGATGTTGGGTCAGGCTTGTATTGAAACAGATTATAGTAAGAGAAGGGAGCAGAGGATACTTCTAAACTGCAGGTGAACCTGCAGTACTCTTACCATTTTGTGATTCTTGTCTCTGGATCAACAACTTAACAAGAACACAATGCACTGGTGTGCCTAGTATGCCAGTAGTGCTCTCTGTGTCTGTTTCTGGGTTACTGGTTTTTTGGTGTTGATCCCCCTGAGTTTTCACTCGTGTCATGAACAAAAAGATAATGTTGTTAGTTGCCATGGAGCTGATTCAGACTCAGTGATGCACAGAGAACTTCCCATTCATAGTAACAGTGCATAGCTTGCTTGATGGTGTCCTTCTCAGATGTTCTCTCACAGAGAGGTAGATGTTCAGTGCTGTGTTTTAGTGTTCACAACTCATTGGAACTTTGGTAGCACAGTGGTTAAAGCACATAGCACTAACCAAAGATTGTTGGTTTGAACTCAGCAGGTCTGCCTCTTCACAGAAAGATGGCAGTGTCCTTCCTAAAGACTGAGAACCATGGGAGGCCTGTGGGGCAGCTCTACTCTTTCCTCAGGGGTCATGGAGTCAGAACCTACTAGACAGACAATAGTATGGTCTGAGGTTCTTGCAGCAGGCTATAACAACCTAAAAAAAAAAAAAAAAAAAAGTATTGTACTTAACGTTGGTACTGACTTACTGATGGAATCATCCAGCTTTAAGCTGAAGACCTGTAGTTTGTGATTGTTATTCCATTAAGTCGGTTCCAATGCCTAGCAACCCTATATAGGGTTTCCAAGGAGCAGCTGGTGGGTTTGAATTGCCAACCTTATGGTTCACAGTCCAGTGTTGATCCTACAGCGCAACACCAAGAGTCAGTGCTTGGTTTAGTGGTGGTTTTAAAACAGAGTGAAGAGCTATTTGGCTTTTTAAACATTCGAGTTCCAGCTTTGTGCCTTCCAGGAGATCACAGTCCAATAGCAAAGTTCAGAATCAGAAAGACTATCGGGAAATCGGGGGAAGTAGTGGTTTCTTTTCTGGACATCATGGGATTTCTGATTTCCCAATTTTGACTTTGTCATACTCTCTACCCTGAAGTCTTTCAGGATTTATAGTTTGGCCAGAAGATGTATATATATATATGATAAGTCTTGTATCTTTAGAGAGTAGAGGTGGCTGTTTTCTTCTTCATTGATACTAATCAGGAAAGGCAGTTTGATGCTGAGAAATGAGAAAGGAGAGACCTGCAACTTACACTTGGCTTGTTTTAAAGGTCTTTGATTTGCGTCAGTGTCATCGTCAGATGCAGCAGCAGGCGGCCACTGCACAGGCTGCAGCTGCTGCCCAGGCCGCGGCCGTGGCGGGAAACATCCCAGGCCCTGGATCAGTAGGTGGAATAGCGCCAGCTATTAGTAAGTATGCTTTTGATTTTTTTTAAGTGTGAATGTTGGTGTTTTATCTTGATTTCACTCAGTGGATTTGTTACTTTAAGCTACAATAGAAAAAGTATAAGGTTCTTTTTAACTGGGATGATAGTCTTTTTGCATTTGTAAAAACTGTTCTGTAATCTTTGCCCTTTGTATAGAATCTTGTTTTCATTCTTCTTGTATCAAAGAGGGAGTGTGGGATAAAGGAGAAGAGGGCTTATTGTTAAAACTGTATTGATCTACCTCCCCCTTTTTGTCGTTGATGGGTGTAATTCCTGCCTGTAGTCTAGTAAGAAAAGCATATTCAATTTCAGAATTGGGCAGTTTTTTATTTTCAATTTTTTAAAGTATGCTAAGCATGGAGAGAAGACTAAGTGTGAGGGTGGTATTTTGATAACTTGTAGACTTGTTTTTAATTTTAGGGTAAAATTGAACTGTGTGCCAGGGTTCACACTGATGGGGAATTTTTTACTGCAGAGTTAAACTCCTGACTATAGACTTTTATGATGGAAACACGTGGCACCCATCTTCCACGTCTGAAGGCATAACTAGTGATTCATTCAACCCCTGTTCTTAACCTCTTCAGTGTGGTAAGCAAATCACACTGGCTAAGAAAACTGCAGTGGCCCTGCAGGTTTCTCTACAGTACATGCAAATTCCTCCCATTAGCTTCATTGTAACACTGATGAATGCAGATTGACTTAGGACAGGCTTGTTCTGACTGGAAAACTAGAGGCAGAGTCTCCACTGTGAACTATGTTCAGGAGTCTATAAATTAGAGGTAGATAAGACATATTCATGTAGTGATTTTGAATTTTTTTTTTTTTTTTTTTAATGTGGGCATCTACAACCATTAAGTTAATAGCTAGTTCTGGTGTTGTATTACATGCTTTTACTAAGGAATCCAGAAGTGTTACTGAGTTTCTCATTCTCATCTACTGCCCCTTGGAGTAATATGAGCACATTCATTATGTCTGTTACATGCAGAACTGAGTGGCAGGCATCGTCTGGGTCATTCAAGCGGTCCTAGTGGGACTCGGATTGTTAGCTGTCTCACTGTCAGTCGGGACCTTCTCTGAACTAGGCTGTTAAGACAGATAGTAAGGACTTGTCCTAGCCTTAAAAATAGTCATTTCTTGTCCCTTCACCTCCACTTCTAAAGAGAACGATAGGTGGGGTGTTTGCGGATTGTGCTTCATTTACTTTATATTGGTGGCAGCTAGAAGACACATGTGTAATATAAACTGCCTTAACCAAAAGCTTTCAGTCCCTGTTGGTAGAGTTTAGATCTGCAGTCACTTCTTGGCATTTTGGCAGAGAAGTTATATGCTGAGGAGAATGAAGTAAAGAAAGCCTGTCACTTTGTTACCATAAGAATTAGGGAGGATGGGGAAGAGATCTGGCCTGCTATTTGATAGCTTCTCAATCTTTCCTGCTAGGTTTGTCCGCTGCTGCTGGAATTGGTGTGGATGACCTTCGTCGCTTGTGCATTCTCAGGATGAGTTTTGTGAAAGGCTGGGGACCGGATTACCCGAGACAGAGCATCAAGGAAACACCTTGCTGGATTGAGATCCACTTACACCGGGCCCTGCAGCTCCTGGATGAAGTCCTGCACACCATGCCTATTGCAGACCCACAGCCTTTAGACTGAGGGCTTCTGTTTTTGGAGCCATAACAGTGCCAGGATGGTGGACTATGAAATACAATCCTGCTTTTAATCTGAAAATATACTTCACTTTTGTTCTGCTTTATCTTTTCATAAAGGGTTGAAAAATGTGTTTGTGGCCTTGCTCTTAGCAGACAGAACTGGATTTTAAAAAAAAAAAAATTTTTTTTTTTAATTTAGAACTTTTCAGGCATGGCTCAGAGCTTGAAGATCAGGAAAAACACATTCTTACCAAATCTTCACCAGTTATGTATGAAGGAATCATTCCAATGCTGGAAAATTTAGCCCTTTAAGATGTCTTAGAGCCTTTTGTATGCAGAACATAATATATGTGTTATTCTACAAAATGAATTCAATTTTGCTGATTTTAAAGGCAGAGAAGTTCTCAAAGTTAATTCACCTATGTTCATCTGTGTGCAAGTTGGTATTGTTGAACATAACTTTACTCCAAAATTTCGTGCCATGTGGGTGAGTTAATTTTACTAAGAGCAACTTTACTCTGTGTTTTAAAACATAAGATAGCAATGTATTATATAACCTTTTATCCAAAATATATATATATATTTTTTGCAAGTTAAACTAGAGAAGATGATTTCAATTCAGGTTGTCTTGCAACTTCAGTTTTATTTTTTGCCAAGACAAAACACTAACCTGTGTGTATATTGAGAATTCCTAACAATTACCAGATAAAGAAGTGTCACTTAAGATGATGTGTGTTACCCTGTTGGGTAACTGCTTATTAAGAAGGGGACTTTCCCCCTGTTAATTAGTCACTCTGTTCTCCAGTGTTTTGAGGCTTGATGTTGGCTATCTAGAAGGGGGATTGCTTTCCTTCATTAATCCATAGGGACAGGTTTTGTATTTTGAAAAAACACTAAAGCAGCACCCCTCCACTTCCCAGTTCACTGTTCTCCAGAGGTGGCAGTCCACCAACAAAATAACGTGTATTTCGGAAACGGCTCGATTCTATTAAATACTGTGCAGAATTATGGAAACAGTGCCACTCATAATAGGTCGTTTGGATATTTTTGTACTTGATTTGATGTGTGATTTTTTTTTTTTTTTTTTTCATATACTGTTTAAATCACGTATGTTATGACATTGTTTAAAATTCGGTTTTTGTATTTTGGGGCAAGACTGCAAACTTTTTTATACCTTTTGGTTAATCTAAGCCCTATGCCATCAATGATCTTATGAGTTGGCAGTGACTTTGTATAGAGAATTTTAAGTAGGAAAGTTGCAGGTGTATTGACTGTACCACAGATACAATATGTATGCTTTTTACCTCGCTCGTAGCATCAATAAAATGGAAACTCAACATACAACATGGAATTTAAGTTTGTTTATCTGTTGCACTTTGAGTCTAATCTTAGTGGTAAGACACCGTCTACGAAATGACAGGCAGCAGCCAGTGCTATTGGGCAGCTTTGGTTTCTCCTGACCTTCTACCAGCTCTTCCCATGGGGCATCATGTGTCATGTGTGGAGCTGGTTCTTTTTGGAATGTGTGTTTTACAGGCTGCTGTCTGTGAGGTAAACAGATTGTCTAATGAGATCAATGGGTGAAGTCAGATCTAGGATTATCTTACAGATGCTGTTACTCTGCTTGGAGGACCTTTGGAAGGTATACATTTCAAAGGTGTGTCCTCAGTTTGAGCTCAGAAACACTTAGAGGTAACACTCAGCCTGTGTCACCAAAAGTGAGCAGCTCTTCTTTGTCCTGCTCAGAAGCTTTCCGTCCCATCCTAGAGTCACAGCTGAATCTGCTGAGTGCTGTATTGAAACACACGCTGATCTCCATTCAGGCTATAGGTCAGTAGTTTGTACAGTGATTTTTCTACTGACTTATTTGTACTCTAAAGTGTACTAACAAGTATTTAGCTTAAAGAACTAGTTTTAGCCTGTAAACATTTGGTGTTTTAGGTTTTATTGGCATATTTAAAGAAAAAGATCTTCATTTCTAGAAACTGACTTTAGATCCATTTGACTCTGAATGAAGACTAGGAGCAAGTGGGGAAAGAGTTTTGAATTAACAATAAATTTTTTTAACCAGGATATTTGATAAGAAAATCATGCTGTGATCTAATCCACTGCCTCTTTAAGGAAGTTTTTCATGTTGTACCAGCTGGAGGAAGTGTGTGAAGAATAGTTGCTGAAATACCACTCTGTGGCCAAGCCATCTGTATTGATTTCCTTCTATCAAGAGCCATATACGATAATACTGCTTATTAGTAATTGCTTTGTATCTGTACCTAGATTCAGGATGTGCTTTTGAGAAAATAATCTAGTATATTAGGATCAGGTATTCCTGAAAATTTAGTTAAACTGCTTTCCTAGAAGGGGTCATCTTGGACAAGTAAGACTAAAAGCTCACTAGGTTTTAATTTTATGGTTATGGAAAATGGGAGTCTTGGTGTGGCACTGTGGGGATAAAGCACTGTACTGCAGCGCTGGACTGAACTACAAGGTCAGCGGTTCAGACTCAGCAGGCGCTCATTGGAAACCCCATACCGAGTCGCTAAGACTCGGAACTGACTTGAAGACAGTTAACAACAAATATAAAGTTGTTTCTGTAGTTCTCAGAATTAAACAGTATTCTGAGGATCTGTTTCTAGGTGGGTTTTTTTTTTTTTAGATAATTTATATCTCAGAGTCTCAAAATGCTGGATTTTACTAAGACTGACACTGAGAGAGAATTAAAATCCACTATGAGGCTCCTTACACTTTTGTCCTGTGCCTTTCAGTGCATTATCAAAAGGGACCCTTGATGGTGTTGCCTTCGATTCCTAGGGTGTAGGTTCCTCCTTTTGGATTTAGAGTGTACTGTTCCTGGTAGGCAAAAATAGTCGTCATAAATCACTGCCATATAACCTTGTTTTATTAGAAACATGGCTCACCACTAAATATATCGTCTGTCCCATTTCTTTTGTAAATGATACAGGTTTACAGGTTGGATGCTCATGCTTAGGGATAACTGTACTCGAAATACGCAAGTAAAACCAAACACATATAAGCTGTGTTGCATTTCAAAGTCAGAAACCCATTTTTATGGGAATGAGTGTGGTGTTAAGGGGTATTGAGGTATAAAATGTTTTTATTATCTGCCTTCCTGATGAAAAATACCTTATTATCCTAAAGTTTATTTTAATTGTATGAAAGTGAGTTGCAGCTATATTTTTGGTTGTATCCATCTGGGGAAGGAGAATTTTACACTTCCTCATGTTGTTAAGTGCAGTTGAGTCGGTTCCAAGTCATAGCTACCCCGTATAGGGTTGGTGGGTTTGAACTTCCCTAAATACCTCTGGAAGTTGAAGACTATAAGGTGAAATGTTTCTATTCCTGGTTTTGTGTACTCACTTAGTAGTTACTCACTAGGTATTTTGTGCAATTAATTCAGAGCCATTTGGAAGAAACCATTTTTCTGCTGTTCTGAGTTGTTGGGTGGCTTCACAGTTGGTTCTGACTCTCAACGACTCTCTGCACAACAGAACGAAACACTGCCTGGTCTTGCACTCGCATCACAGTTGTTAGGCCTGAGCCCACTGCTGCTGCCACTGTGTTAATCCTTCTCATTGGGGGTCTTCCTCGTTGACCCTCCACTTTACCAAGCATGATGTCCTTCTCCAGGGACTGGTCCCTCCTGATGACATGTCTGAAGTATAAGAGATGAAGTCTTGTCATCCTGGTTTCTAAGGAGCATTCTGGCTCTACTTCTTCCAACACAGATTTGTTGGTTCTTCTGACAGTCCACGGCACTTTTCACTATTCTTCTCTAACATCATAACTCAAATGCATGAATTCTTCTACAGTCATTCTTACCATTGTACAACTTTCATATGCATATGAGGCAATTGAAAATACCATGGTTTGGGTCAGACACAACTTCGTCCTCTTGAACACTTTAAAGAGCTCTTGTGCAGCAGATTTGCTTAATGCAATATGTTGTATGAGTTTCTGACTTGTGCTTGCATGAGTGTTGGTTGTGGATCCGAGCAAAATAAAATCTTTGACAACTTCCATCTTTTCTCCATTTATCATGATGTTATTTAGTGGTCCTTCTATAAGGAGTTTTGTTTTCTTCATGTGGCACAAATAATCCTATGTATATGTAATATCTGTAGTTAGTTCTCTTCATCTTTGTCATTTTACTGGCATTTAATGATAGCACATTTGGAAAGTGGGGAATTTAGGTCACTGAGGTAAATATATGAAAACAGTTACTGTTATAGTCAGTCAATGATTCTTTTGTGGATGAATTTTGACTGAAACAGCAGATAACAGCATGCAGAAAAACTTTTTGTTAAGTTTTTGCCTGCTTTTGTTCTATATGTAAAAATCTTGTAAAGCTCTCTTTCCAAGTCTACAGAGAACAGGCTGTGAGCATCTTTCACACAGCCTTTCCATCTTGCCTGAAAAAACGAAGAAGTAATTTTTTTTTCTCTAAAGACACCAGGATAAAGTCCTGGTGTGGCACTGTAGGATCAGCACTGGATTGCTAAGCATGAGGTTGATGGTTCAAACCCACCAGCTGCTCCTTGGAAACCTTATACAGGGTCTCTGTGAGTTTTGGAACCCACGCAATGTCACATAACAACAAAAACACCAGGAGGGGAGGTAATGAGTAGCCTTTGGCTGAGCAGCATGGGCCTCAGGCCTGGTTTCACCTCTAGCACTTGCTCATTCCCAGTAATGTCAGCTGGTTTATCTTGCTTATCTGATGTCACCGTGGAGAGAGATTGCCCATGTAACCCAAATTTGCATTATCTAAGCACAGTTGTTGTGTGCTGCCAGATGGGTTCCAACTCACAGTGAGCCTGTATCAGATTTTCTAGGCTCAGCTGGTGTTCATCCTACAGCGCCACACGAGGCCACCATTGAAGCATTACAAGTTTTCTTTTCTCCATCTTTTGGATGGTGTTATTTACTGCATCAGAGGATACACTGGATATAGCAGTTGTGTGTGAGAGAGATGAGTGCTCTGTTGACTTGGGCAGCTGTGTAAAGCAGGACTCTAGTCTTCCCTGAATGGTCAGACCACTGGGGGTTTGTGTGAGAGAGATGAGCTCTCTGTTGACTTGGGCAGCTGTTTGAGGCAGGACTCTCTAATATTCCCTGAATGGTCCCAGACTGTTTCCTTTCTGACAGCTATGCTTTCATGTGGTGGTGTTCATGTGTCTCCCCTTCGTGTTTCCTTCTTCCTTTTCGGATTCACTACTTATAACTGCTTTGGCAAGGAAACCAAACCAGATAAACCAAACTTAAGATTTTTCTCCAAAACACAAGAACACACTGTGGGACAGGACCCAGGAAACTTGCCTGTAGTGTTGAGAAGGACCAGTACTTTGGCACTTGACGTCTGTTTCATTATTCAGAGTGCTTCCTTCTGTCTGGGCTTCAGTAGGGAGGTGATGATGGTTATGTCCCGGAGAGTTGGTTCCAACTCATAACGACCCTGCGTAGGGTTTCCGAGGCTGTAAGTTTTTACAGGAGCAGAAAGCCTCATCTTGCTCCTGTGAAACCGCTGGTGGTTCTGAACTGCTGTCCTTGAGGTTAGCAGCCTGACTCGTAACCAGTAACCACTACGCTACCAGAGCTCCTTTTAGTAGGGAGGGGAGAGAGAAATTAGTCATTTTTATTTTTCACCTTTGAGTAATGCTTTGAAAGATACCATTGCTTCCCCTTGAATGCTGTGTGTGTCAGGTGCTGCCGAGTGAGTTCTAACTCCGCAATCCTACGTACAGCAGGAGGAAACACTGCCTGGTCCTCAGCTATCCTCACAACTTGGCTGGTTTGAGCCAGTGTTGCAGCTACCATGTCAACTCATTTCATTAGGGATAGCCCTCGTTTAAGCATGAGCCATTCTGGGAGCCGTCTTTTCTGGACACATGTCCAAAGACTGTGCAGTGAACTCTTGCCCTCCTCACTTTGAAAGAACATTCGGACTGCACTTCTTCCAAGACGGATTTGCTGGTTCTACTGGCAGTGCTTGGTATGTTCAGTGTTCTTCACCAACACTAGAATTCAGATGCATCAGTTTCTCACTGTCCAGCCTTTGTGCACATATAAAACTATTAAAAACACCATGGCTTGAGTCAGGGCACACCTTAATCCTCAGAGTGAATCTTTGCTTTTTAACACTGTAGAGAGGCCTTTTGCATTAGATTTGCCCAGTGCAATAGTTGTTTGATTTTTTTTTTGACAGCTGCTCATAAAATCTGGGGTGGAAGGGTTATCAATCTTACATCAACAGCCAGAGGCAATATCAGTGATTGCCTAGAGGCCACTGACCAGAAAGGAAAAAACCAGCAACAATACACACAAAC